TTCCTGCTGGATCACAGCAGCGCTCTCTCTCCCTTGCACACTCACACGCAGATTGGCCTGGCCGCACACGCTCGTGCACCAGCCCCACCGCCTCCTGCCCTCCCCCGCCCTACTCCCCCCACCCCATGCAGAATCCAGCCTTTGCAGTCACTATTACTGTCAGCCTCGCCCCCTCCCTGCTCACCCCACCTTCGCAGCATCCTCTAACCAGCAGGGGAGGTGGGAAACCGCAGGCAGAGGTTACTCTGAATCCACTCCCATCACCCCCTCTCCCTGCCTGCCCCACAGGCTCCACGCTCTCGCTGTCTCCCCCAGATACACACGGGTCTTGCTGCAGCAGAAGCACCGGGGTTTCGTGCTGCCTGCGTGGGATGCCCTGGCCCCAGGGGCCTGGTGGCGGCTGCAGATACTGGGCAAACGCATCGAGGCCCAGCTCCTCAAAGGTATTTAGGTGCCTAACTCCCCTTGACACCAATGGGTTCCGTGCCTCAGTTTCCTCATCTACGAACTGAGGCGTAAGAGCCCCACCCACCCTCCCAGGGGTGTTGCGGGGATAAATACGTTAAAGATTCGGAGGGGCTCAGATGGGATGGGGACCACAGAGGTGCCGTAGCTAGACAGATTCATGCGTGGGGGATTTAATGCCTGGCCTCCCGGGCAGAACAATCCAGAACAGACCAAGAGCCCGTCATCTGAGGAGACCCAGGAGTGGGCTGTTTTGATAACACGATCCAGATTTTCTGGGCCCGTCTGCAAATCCGGCTTCTCATGGGGATGTGCTCACACTTGGTACGTTAATAAAGGTGCTAATCAACTGGAACAGAGTCCGGCAGGTCACCAGGTTGCTTGTGCCCAAGTCTAGACTCTCCTGCGGATGTGCCAGGATCTGTCTCTAACGCCCGCTGGCCCCGGCTCTGCCGCCCTTCCCCGGCCATTCGGTACTGAGACTGCTGGACACAGACCCACTGTGGCTATCTCTGGCCTCCGCAGGGCGGCGAGTTATATGGGCCCGTGGTACCCGGGCTCCAGCAATATTCAGGGCCCGGGGGCCCGGCTCCACCAATGTTTGGGGCCAGGTCTCTCCCCCGGTCCCACCTGCTGCCCCTGAGTGTCCCCCGGCCCCCACTTGCTGTCCCCGGGCCCCTGACCCTGCCCTTCGCCTCGGACCCTTCCCTTTTCCGGCGGGACCCTCCACCAGCACAGCCCCCCCCGCCCGCAGTCACGGCTCCTGCCCCATGCTGGGCAAGGGGCAGCCCCACCCCCAGGGAGGCTACAGTGAGGGGCAGCTGCCGGGGAGGAGGCGCACATGTGATGGTAGCCCCCCCTCCCCGCTACAGGGCAGGCGAGGGGGCTTCCTGGACCTGAGAGGGGCCCTAGGAGCACGTGCTGTGACAGTGGTGTGGGGCAAGTGTGCTGCCTGGGGGG